ACGAATTCGTTGCATCCGTAGATCTAAACGATTTGTTCCTCATCTTGGTAATATATTTGGCTTAGCGACTTGATGGATGTCATCACATGAAATGGAAGACTCTATATTGAAGCTGGATATACATGACTTTGAATGTTTCGCATTGTTCCTAGAGTCTTTCTAGTGTGGTATTAATGTAATCTCTTCGTCTTTTTCTTTTCGTTTTTTTGCTCTCTCTACTGCTGATTTTTGTTCTCCTCCCTTTTTGTATCTTACGTCAGGCTTCTTTCTTTTCTTTTTCTGTCCTCCTTGTCGTTCTTTTTTCTTTCTTTTTTTTTCGTATATTTCACGTCTCTTTAGGACCGAAATATTCAGAGTGCTTTAAAAGGCAATACATATAAGTATATGTATATATATAGATATATATATCTATGTGTAATAAATTATTCACATGTTGAATATTTCGTATTCTATTGTCACACGATTCTCGTTACGCACAATAAATTTTAATTGTGACTCGATAATAATTTAGCAACAAACTTACGCTAAATAAACACGAAAAATTTTAATATGTTTTGTCATTTGTGCAAAATGATTATTTTTTGGATAAGGGGAAATTTTTGTCCCATTTTGGCCTTTGTTTTCGATGGTGCTACTCATTTTATTATTACGTAGTAGTTGAAGGTGACGGCTCTAATTGCGAATGCATGACATCACTCTCTGCCAACGTCAATTGTCCAATCAGAACAAACATTAATCCAATAGTGCACGTTTAAATGATTGTTTTTATACGATACCAAAAAAAAATACCATATACCTACTCGTTATTTCAGTTTAGTTTCGTTTTCTTCTCATCGTTCGTGCGTGACATCGATAATATCTTAAGTAATCATTTTTCTCCTGTCGATAACGTTGAAAAGTGTCTGTTTTTTTTTTCACCACTGGACAAACTTTGAATATAAAATATTTTTTCTACTTTCATTGATTTTTTATTAACGTGAAACAATTGGATTAGAATCATGAACGATAGTACTAATACTACAATGTCGACCAATGGTGGCAATAGTCCTTTTGATTCAGGTGACAATTCTTGAATGTTAACATCAACAGTATTAGTACTATTAATGACACCTGCACTGGCCTTTTTCTATGGTGGTATGGTTGATCGAAAGAATATTTTAAATCAACTATTTTTATCATTTATTTGTATGGGCATTGTAACTGTACAATGGGTTCTCATTGGTTTTTCATTTGCATTTGGTCCACCTGTAAGCGAAGGTTTTGGTTCATTCGGTTGGTCAGTATTACGTTTTGGTGAAGTAGAAAATATAAACTATAGTCCTACATATTCTCTATTGACATTTTGTATGTTTCAATGTACATTTGCAATTATTACACCAGCTCTCATTTCCGGTATGTAGAATCGTTCAATGATAATAAATCATTATTGTTAATTTACTTCAGGTTCTATTGTTGGTCGAATGAAAATGATTCCGTACATGATATTCATATTTATTTGGGCCACAATCTGCTATGATCCAATGGCACATTGGGTTTGGGGTAGCAATGGATGGTTGAAAACTTTGGGAACACTCGATTTTGCTGGTGGAACTGTTGTTCATATTCTTTCGGGCGTCTCCGGTATTACAGCCTCGATCATTTTAGGAAAACGACACGATTATGATCCATACAGTACTTCTGCTCATAATCTTCCATTTACAATTTTGGGAACATGCCTTTTGTGGGTGGGTTGGAACGGATTCAATGGGGGTTCTGCTGGTTCTGCCAGGTACACTATAAAGAATACAAATAACAAATTAGAACAAAAACATTTTTCTTTTTTAGTGATTTGGCAGCTATAGCTGTAGTCAATACAAATACAGCCGCTGCTTCAGCATTGGTAACATGGGTAGTGATCGATGCTATACGTGGTCACATTTCAATATCAGGCGCTTGTACGGGTTCTATTGTTGGTCTTGTAGCTATTACACCAGCTTGTGGTTATGTTCAACCTGGCTGGGCATTACTCATTGGCATTATTGGATCGATCATTGTCTATTGTATGTTGTTGCTCAAGCGATATATGCGATTCGATGACACACTAGATGTGGCTATTGTTCATGGTTGCGGTAAATTCTTTGTATCATGTTGTCTATTGTAAAATAAGTAAAATAATCTCCGTAGGTGGTATATCTGGTGCTTTTATGACTGGCCTATTCGCTCAACAATGGGTTAACCCAAGTGGTGGTGCTAATGGTGCATTTTATGGACATCCTATTCAACTTTGGTATCAAATTGCAGGCATTCTTACTGCCATTGGTAAATGTGAAGTTCAGCTGTATTATTCAAGTATCGTTGTGTATCGTTTTTAGGTTTCGCTGCTGCATGTACAGCCGGAATTCTGCTTCCATTACACTTTACCATTGGTATTAGATTAGCGCGCGAGGATGAACTTACAGGACTCGATCTAGCAGGTATGATCGGTTTAATATTTTTTTTTCCAAGAAAATGTAATATATATATGTATAATTACAGCTCATGGTGAGAATTGGGAAGCGGCTGCAACGCGTGCTGCTGCCGATCTTGTCCAAGAAATGCGACAACAACAAGAACAAAGTGGAAACGGAATCGATTATGCACACGACAATGGAACTTTTGAACTGTCATATAAACCTTCCGATTCCAGTGTCAAACCGATCACAATAAAATATGCTGCTCTAGGTTCATTACCACGTATAATGCCTACTTTGAATTTTAAAGAGAATCGTAATCAACAAGAAACTGCTATTCAAGTAGGAAGAGACCGTAACGGTTCAACAGTGACAGATAATGAATTTCAAACAATGCAGTTTTGATGAACGCCAAGTGTGATACGAACTTTATGTTTTTTATTTTTATTTTTATTTTTATCAGACAATTAATAACTTATGCATTCGATCTATTATTTATTTTAAAGATATTTATCTGTATTGTATACATCTATATACAAAAAAATAAGAAAAAAATTGATTCATTTCGCACTTGTTAACTCAAAAGACAATGAAAGATAATACGAAGCGAAAGCAAAAAAAGAAAACAAAGTACAGGTAAATATTATTCATTCAAACACATTGTATAGAATAACAAAAATTTACTAGCAATCTATTATCTGTGAAGTAATGTGTTTATACTGTAATCTAGATGTTATTGTCATTTTTTTACTACACAATCAAACAATGTTTTGTATATATGTTTAACACTGTTTAGTCAATGTCATCGACTTCTAATTTAATTGATTTTTTTTCTTATTGGAACGGAAAGAGTGACTTCTGAAGTATAAATTTAGTACCATTTCAGGATAAATATAGAAAAGAAAAATCAAACGTCTCTAAAATAAGTTTTCTAGAGGTTGGAAAAGATTATATTTCGCATATATTGCTCGCTACATTGTTCAAATTTGAAGGCATCAAAAACTATTGAAACTGGTTTTTTTTGTAACAGTTTTAAATCAATTTTTGATTCTGGAATCAATATATTTGATCGATACAATTTTTCAAAGAACTATCCGTTTAAAAGAATATGAGCTATTATCTTCAGAAACTGAACGAAAACAAGTATTCTGTTATCATTGAACAATTGATTACTACTTAACTTCAAATACATTATTGAAAAGAGTATTCTTTGTGTTACAAGAATCGTTATTTGATGATTCATCTGCTCGAGTAGAATAGATTTTGCACAAATTTTGTAACTCAGACATTACTCTTTGTAATAAGAATAAATATAATGGAATTAGAAGTGGATTAACAACGTTTGGCATTTTGCTTAGCGTATTATTTCGAAAAATGGAACTTGGTAGTTATTGGAATCGATTGAAACATGACTAATCAAAAAAAAATCAAGAGCAACGAGGTGGCTTTCGGAATCTTGCAAAAAGAGCAAATAGAATGGCAAGATCATCCGGTCGATTGCACATAATTCACAGAAAATTCTTTGGTGCATTCAAATGGTATCTTTTGTTAAACGTAAAGCTCGTTTGTGCAATCACAAAAGGTTTGTGTTAACAAGCTTGATTAACTCTGTTTATGAAGTTTAAAATATTGTTTCTTTTCTTAGCAATCCTCCAAAGAAGTATTCATCAAAATAAAGTAATCGAAAGCAAATATACTGAGTAAATTTGAGTGATAACGGTTTTCAACTTCGTCGAATGCTGTGTATGTAAGATGAGTCTCTTGTTTTTCAAATGACTCCTTCGTTATTTTTGCATCATGTAAACATTTTGCACGTCACTTCTGTATATTTTTGTCTTCTTGTTGTTCTTTTTGAATTTTGAAATTTTTCAACTACACACTCGATTGAAATTGGTAAGAACAGTAAAACATTCAAAATAAAAGGGCCGCGACTATGAATGATAATAAAAAAAAAACCATATTTGCACAAAGATAATTCAGTTCATAGGGAGTATATACAGCTATATTTCTGTATGATGTGTAGTAGTTGGTATCGTCCAAAAAGAAACAGTGCCTAACAAATATAAATTTCATTAGATACCTATGGTGAAGATCTGATTATAGATATATACCAATGTATGATTTTTCTAAAACTGATTTTGATGTTGATTTTATTCCGAAATAGATGAAACTTATAGGATCATGAACATTAGACAACATTGTTTTTCGAATTGGATTGATATTATAGAAGATCGAATAGATTAATCGTATTTCTCCAATAAAAAAGAATAAAAGAAAATGACAAAAAAAGTTGTTTCCTTGTATTTGTTTGAACTTAGACCTCAAAAACTTGTTTATATTATCAATAAAATATTTGTAAAAAATGATTTATTTGCGAAGTAATATACAGAAGAACAATCAATCTTTCAAGATAGTTCAAAATGGATATAAAAATCGAAATTCAGAGTACGTGTGATGTAATGACAGAAGCTGTCGTTATTGTTTATTTTCTTTATTTTCTTAGATCAACCACCCTTCAATGGAAACGAATATATATTATATGTGTATGTTGAGGACAAATTTGGAATTCAGTCATATTTCGAATTTGTCCGGGCGAAATTGAAATTCTAATTTTGCTCGATCAAAATTAGGATTCCAAAATGGACCAAGATTTCCTCGCGCAGAATTAGAATTCGACTAGAATACAATTTATACAATCGAAATAAATAAAATCTAATTTGAATAGTTATTTTTATACAGCAATGTTTTTTTATTTTCTATAACATTTTAGAAGGCAAAGGACTCGCGTCTATTCACTCATCTTTGTACAACCGTCTCGCTTGGAATGACATTTTCTCGAACAAAAACTTCCACTTTTTTACATAAATATTGTTTTTTAGCGTACTTGCATTTATAGTCAAATGTGCAATCAATCGTTGAATTCAACTCAGACATTTGTTTTTGTTAGATTGTAACGCGTACATTGAGGATGCGGATATTGTTTGTATCTCTATGCATAGTTCTATTCCATCAACTCATGCCTAAGTGAATCCATGTCTCGATAAGAACTACTTATTTATTCATTTAAACAAAAATCTTACCGTATTCTTCGTGATAACAAACGAATTCATTTACTTGATGATAATATTCACTTATTTTCATGCATTTATATTCAACTATTTCGACATGACATTATATTTTAACAAACTTTTTTTTATAAATCATCAAAGTATTTTCTTTACAAATAAATGTCGAACATTGTCATAGTACCAGTATCTCTCAAAGCAAACAATTTTTATCTAATGAAAATATCGTTCGATGAATTTTTAAAATCTTATTTGTTAAACTATGAATCTGAACACTTTGAAACATCTTCATTAGAAATACTACAGAGACTGTGTTTGGTAACATAATTTCGATCATATCATTCGCAAAAGATATTCTTGTAAAGATGATCAAACTATGTTACTGTAATATTAGTGTTGAAATTTTTCTAATATATATATGCTATTTGATTGATCAATAAGAAAAAAAACGCTTTCTACTTCATTCTCAACTTTAGTAAAGTATTAATATGGATTCGAATGAATAGCACACGAAAAAGTAAGACATTAAGAAGAAAAAAAAGAGCAAAATAACTAACATAAATGGAGTATAAAAAGATAAACGAGATAAATGTTCAGATATCACAAAACTCATAAAAAAAGATGCAATAGGATAAAACATACTCTCATTTATTAAACAGAAATCAATATTTGCCAATTAATATGCAACAAAAAATGCATCTAGAAAAAGATTAATGGAGTGTGACTGTGTGTAAGCGTGCATGGATCTCTGAGGGTAAGTACCTTTTCACTATCAAACAGTCATATGCAATTTTTCTTTGCCAAAGTGAAATGAGAGTGAGGATGTGGGCGTGACTGCACGTGTTGCTGTGGACATGTGCGCGGATACCTATGAGTCTTGTTTTTTAACCAATATTGGCACCGACACAGACACCGATCCACACTCTAAACTTGCGATGTCATCTACTAAAGCAGAATTGACTTTGAGAACTGATATTCCTGTCAATTCAATGTGATTGATTGTAATCAAATCGATAAATATTGTATGTGGATACTTGCCTGCATGTTTTTCTTGTTCTATTTATATGAATAGAAGTGCGACCTAGGATTAGTCATGGAAGAAATTCAAGCCCAATTATGTTGAATATTGGCCTTGTCGAAAATTTTGATTTATCCGTCGAAAAATAGTAAGTTCCTTCCAAAAAAATGCTTATCTCACTGAGATGTTTCATTTGATATGAGATGATAAGGGTTTCGGTGAAAAAAATCATATGGCCCGATTTATGACCTTATATTACTTCTCCTCTTCGCATCCTTTATTGAAAAAACATCAAATGAAAAATTAATGGTACAAATAACAAACTTTTATGTTCTATTCGGTTTATGTGAGATGCTGAAAAAATCGGTCCTGTCGGAGTATCATTATGAATTAAATTATATTCCATTAGTAGTTGAATAACGTTCTTATATACATTTTTTCCATTGCATAAATCGTGATTACAAACATATTCGACTGAACTTTGTCGCACATCTACTTTACCGTTGAGATAATACGATGTTTCTTCTAGGATTCCCAATTGTTTACGAAATTGATCATCACTGTTCGACGAACATCCTTGATGTGTTTTATTTGTATAAACATTATCAATATTTAAACTACATGATTTAATATTTCCATCACATGTAATAATTAAACCATCTGTCGATAAACAACGGAAAATACTTGCACCTGAATTAAAAATATTTAAAAGGAAATGCATGATTGAATGGAAAGAGTTTTCTATTATTTTTCGAATACATACAGAACGCAACAGCTTTTAAATTGAATAAGAATGTGTAAAAGGCTAAGATGTAACAAGCGATTAACACGACCACAACCTTTGATGTTAGGACGAACATATTCAAGCAGCGAAATCAACGTTTTACTTCAAAGAACAACAGCAGGTTAAGAACTATTGCAACAGTCGATAAAGGAAATTAGTTATGTGAAAAATTTGTTTATAAAAGGTCAGAAATGTCTTTTAATATTCGCCACGTTTTTTGTTTAGATTTTCTAAATTCAATAGATTTTGTGTTACATACTAATTGGTGATCGGAAAATTTTTTGAGAAAATATTTCCACCCTTTTTGCTCGTTGGAAAGCGTTTTAGAATGCTTAAAAACTATTGGTTAGAACCAGAATTTTGTTCTCTTTCCAAATATGCTCTCTGAAATCTTGTCTTACGTTTTTCTCTCGAGTATTGAGAAGAGCTTTGGAAGGCTTGAAAAAATGTTTGGATGAAAAATACTTTGATATAGTTTGGTATTTTCATTATTGGGATATAAAACTAAAAATTGAAACCTTTATTAATTTTATCGACGTGCAGAATGCAATATATTCTGCAAAACGTACGATTTCAGTCTTCTTTTCCTTCCGATAAAACACGTCAAACTTCGTTCTGCAAATTGCTGCCATTTCGAAAAAAATCGACTTTTTGATTAAGCGAAGTTTTCAAGCAGTAAGTGAGCCTTGACGAAATGGCTATAGTTTCACTTAAATAAAATCTAGAGCTAAGTTCTATATCACATATTGTAAAGAACTGACCGCTCTATCAAACTATAGAGTGCAACTATTTTCAGCGTCTTCGTAAAGAAACAGCGACTAACAAAAAGATACTTGTTTGCTGTCCCAGCTTTTTTTTGTGAAGCTTTTTAAAGCCTTCCTCACTACCTGTGTGAACGAAATTCTGGTTTTAATCGATAGTTTTTAATCGTTCTGAAATCCTTGCAAGTGAGTGAAAAAAACTTTTTGATCACTCATCAATCACCATAAGCCATCATATGATCTGCATTTTTACGTATGCATATTTTCAAAGGAAGAGAAACGATTTCTTTAGGAAAACGTCTCAATATAATGTTGTAGGAAAATGTCAGGTATGACCAGAATTACTTTGCTTTTCGTTTTCCAAAACACAAAACTACTAAAACTCTTTCTGGCTGAATAGAAACAAAAAATCTTATTTTTATGATCATCGAAATTTGTACAAACATCATCCACTTTGTTTCTTATTTTTTCCATTTAGTAAAAAGTTTAAGAAACGTTTAGGAGAACTGATAAACCTATTGCCAACGGTTCAGAAAAATGAAACTATAGAAAACAAATTTCCAACACTAATTGCGTTCTCCTATTAATTCTTATTCGCACCTGAATCTGCTGTAAACAAAGCAGAGGACAATTTCTGTTGAAATTGATTAAAATTCGTTGTTAATTTACGCATTTGCAACACTTTCGTTTTGGCATATTCAAAGTCACATAAGTCACCATGATAACATTTATGTTTTGTTACCGTCCATTGAATATTATATGTTTCATGCCACATTTCCGTCTCTTGTGATATATAGTAGTTGTCTAATGTGACACTACTACCGTTTATACTTTGTTCACCAAATGTAATTTGGATTAATTTTGATACATAATCAAAACTAATATGTGAATAACATTCAACATTTTGATATGTTTTGTTACACGTAGATGGCAGTGTATCGAGCGTTTCATTGAATGTTAGATACATTGTACAATACTGGACACATTGATATTGAACAGTTATAGGAAGTAGTATTAGGAAGCAAATGTAAACGAGTGTAATACTAGCCATTTGTTGCTAAAGTGGGAGAACAACTTTTTCTAACTTCTTTCTATATCTTATTTAACTGTGTCGTGGTGCAATTTTTTTTCGTTACTATTCTTATCTTAGATAGACAAAGGCGTTGATAACAGGAGAGCATTAATTGTAAAAAAAATATGTGATGAGATGAAGTATTCCTTATCTTAATTCTTTCTTGACTTTGTTTACAATACGGATGTTATGTGAAGTTTACACCAAAATCCGACTACTAATAGCAGTAGCCTCTATTTTTCCAATGAAAATACCTGAACTAACTTCGGTATTGTAATAATTTCGTACCATTATCGGTGACTGACCTGATTCTGCAAACAACAATAACTACAGACGGATAGATGGGTTCATTTTGCTTTGTTCAGAAACAATGTGTGTATTTTCATCCAAGTTTTTATTAGAACAGTATTAGGTACGTACAACTTTCTCACAGACAGATTTTATCTCTTACTTCTACAGGAAGATTAGGATATACATGTATAATGTTCACTGAGCGAGAGATTGTATATGTAGCTGTTAAAATAATTTTTTATATTACTGACATTTTATGAAATGATGAACAAAAAACTAAAGTGAAGTTGAGTTCTCCTGAATACTGATTCCATAGTGAACACTCTTACTCCAAGTATACCTCAGTGTTTTCTCTCGATTAACATGATGGCTTCTCCAATAGCTTAAATGATATGCAAGAAAGCCTCAAAACACTAGGTTTTTACCACAGGATTTTCAAAAACCTTTGTTATATTTCGGTTGGGTTCATCTGAATACTAATTCCAGAGTCCTTAGTAGAGTAAATTCATGAATGTTCCACCACATTTTGGAAAAGTCTTTTGAGTTAGTTAATTTGTACTGGTTAGTTGGTAAGTGACCGGGAAAACAACACCTTTGGTCGAAAATATGCGTCTAATTGAATGAAGAATGTGGAAGATCCTGATTGTTCTTCAAGAATATCTAAGTGTATTTTCTAAGTGCTCAGAAATCCATGGTCGTCTACGAAATATTTTCAGCGTATCCTTTGTCGTCAAAAGGATTATACATGAAGTTAAACAGCCGGTTCCGTTTTTTCAGATCACTACATATTACAAATGCTTCGACCTAACTCGTTCCAAGCATTTAACTCTATGTAACTTCTTGTTGTCATATCATTTTATAGTAAGAAATAAAATGCGGGTGTGGGCATGCGTCATGTTTTAAGCCACATCCACACCCAAATCTGCTGACTGCTGTCATTATTGCTTCTTCAAGAGCATTCATCCTAGTTTGGTTTTTGTAATAAAAACTATGCCACCAAAAATAGCTGACAATATGTAAAAACAAATTGAAGATCGTCAAACATCAAAACCAACTCTTTGCGATCACGGTGCATTTTCTCCTGGTGATCGATTTGATCACGTTCATTTTATCAACGATTGACGTGGCAATCATGTGTTGTACAACTATCAGAGTAAAAACTGCAGATAAACAGTTAATATATTGCAATAACCAAAAGAAAGTTTTCTTCATTAATGATATACGAGACGAAGAATATATTGCTTCAAATATATTTTACTTTCTTATTAAGATACTCTATTCCATGGTATAATAATAAAGTGTTTTGAAATAATAGATTTTCATATTATTGAGCAGTTCTAGATTTAAACTCGGTCTGATCAAGAATATAGTTCAGGAACAAGAAAGATCAATAGATTGACAATATTTCTTCAGTGAAAAATCGCTCTAATTCGATCAACAAAAGACATCATCAAAATTTGAAATTGTTCATCTACGGTATACACCATAGCGTTGAATGGTAGACATGAGTTCGAAATGAAGCCAAGAATGCTGTTGATCAACTTGAGTTCGATGCTATGATTATGATTTTTCTTCGGAAGATGAATTTCGGCTGGGCATATTGACTCTCGTTTGCATTGATTTCTGTTACCTAAAATCGGAATTTATAATTTCTGAATGACTAAGAAAAATAGCATCGATACAACATACCGACGCTGAACGAATCTAACTGATCGAGACTAGCAGTAACATATTGTATGTATTACTCAGAGTGTGGTGGGTATGAATGTAAGTAAGTTCTTAACCGCGCCCATGCCTACACACATCCACACCTACACCCTGATTAAATTCGATAACGTTTTGAATACACATCATTATAGGGTTTGTTCCAATAAATTGATTTAATTATTGGATTTTGACATAAATCAAGTCGATTATGTGTATCTTTTAAGTTTCATAAAGCTAATTTAAAATTATGTTGACGTTAGTGTACAATATGCCATATCAAGTGATACTTGAGCTTATATAATCAATAAATATTTCATTGAATTTTATTGTTTCTAAAAAATTTGTGGGTGCCCTTACTGCTTTGCCAACCAATTCATCGTGAATTTAAAATTAAAAGAAAAAGAAAGTAGCAACAGATTTTTATCTTTCTTTCTCTGATATTAGGTCTTTGACTTACATATAGAAGTAAAGCTTCATCAGTAACAATATATGTCCATGTTTGAAAAGAACTACAAAAAGCATCTGATAATTATCACTGTTACAGTAAATCATTATATATATGTTATTGAGATAAATTATGGATTATGGTATCATTTTTACTATTTGTCAAGTGAGAATTTTCTAATGTTTTAAGTAAAAATAGATTATGTTGAATCAAAATTAAATATTGATTAAGTTTGTCATATAGTTCAATTAATTGTATTGTAATTTAACGACCATATTCATTTGATTAATTTAATTTTGACTAATGAAGTGAAAATTATTCTTTTGCATATTGAATATTATACTCTGAATTTAAGAAAAAAAACCAAGAACATGTTGGTCAGGTGTACCAGTTCCAATAACACTCACATCAACACCCAGAGTTTTTAGCACCTATAAACAGTTTTTTAAATCAGTCGAAGCTCTGAAAAAATAAATTTCGTAATGGATAAATGGTCAAAATAGTGCATATATGAATCGTTATGCGTTTTGATAGCCACTTGACCATTATTCACTTTCAAAGCTACATTTTGATAGTCAGATTGGTACATTTCCGAACGAAAATGCATTTTATTGACCTTTTTTTCTTTTTTCACTTGATTGGGGAGTATTCAATCATTCAG